TCATGGATTTCGGAACATGGGAAGGCAGGGCAGGGAGGGAAGGGCAGTGAGTGAAGGGCAGGGCAGGGAGGGAAGGGCAGTGGGTGAAGGGCAGGGCAGGGAGGGAAGGGCAGTGAGTGAAGGGCAGGGCAGGGAGGGAAGGGCAGTGAGTGAAGGGCAGGGCAGGGAGGGAAGGGCAGTGGGTGAAGGGCAGGGCAGCGCAGGGAAGGGAGGATAAAGGCTGAATCACCTAGAGTAGGAATGGCGATTCCGTTGGTGATCACGGTGTGTTTTACTTGGCGGACGTGGCGCCTTGTGTGGGGGAGTTGAGCCCTTGGGATGGGGAGATGCGAAGGCAGGGATGGAGGGGAGATGCTAAAACGAGGGGAAGAAGAGGGGGATATGAGAGGAAGCAGAGGGGGACATGGGGGAAGCAGAGGGGGAAATGGGGGAGCAGAGGGGGAAATGAGGGGAAGCAGAGGGAGAAGTGAGGGGTCAGCTGGGGCCGAAATGGGGGGAAGCAGAGGGGGAAACTAGGGTAGGAGAGGGGAAACCGAGGGGAAGCAGGGAGGAAAATGGGGGTGAGGAAGGGGGGAATACGAGGGGAAGCAAGACAGAATGCGTGGGCAAGACAAGGAAAAAATGAGCGCTAGCAGGGGGGTGAGGGCTGATTTCGCGCGAGAGGCGAGCTCGCCGCATTACAGTCCGTGCAACGACTGTAACGCGGTGAGCTCGCCGAATGCTACTCGTTGAGACCCCTCTGAAAGGAATACGGCGGGCCCGCCGTATGCAACACGGCGGGCTGGAAGAATGCAACGCGGCTGCCCGTCAGTACCCAAAGCGGCAGGGCAGCTGAAGGGGATCTGCCAGCTGCAGGCGCGCGGCTCTACAGGTGCGCGCCTCTGCAGCCGCGCCTCTGCATGTGTGCGGTTCTGCAGCGTCGCGCCTCTGCAGGTGCGCGCCTATGCTGGTGCGCGCCTCTGCAGGTAAGCGCATCTTCAGGTGCGCGAAATGCGGGTATGCGTCTGGCGTTTCGCTCTTCCTCTTTCAATTTCTCCGTCGCACTAGGCCAATCGCTTCCCCGTCTCGCTCTCTCCTTTCGCTTGCCATTCGTCGTCATTATCATGGCGCGGGGCAAAAACGGACGACCCTGACTGCTGTCGGCCTGCTGTAAGGACTCACGGCGGAGACGAACAGGGGTGCAGGAGTCACGAGTGAGCAAGGGAAGTAGTAGTCCGCGACGCGACGATGTCGCTCGATGCGTGCAAAGACCACAGTAGGAGGTATGCGACGACTTGACTCAGTGAGCGGCGAGCGAGTAAGGGAACGGGGGCGTGGCGTTCAATGCGAGCCAGGGTAACTGCGTTGCTTGCGTCTAGCTATGGGCACGGCCTCCTCTCTCATCCTTCGTAGTTGAGTCACTACTATGGTTATTTTTCACTATCGTTCTTACTCGACTTGCTCGTTCAATTGCACATGTAACTGTCAGAACATATATATATAGCTTATGCTGTTGTGTAGGCTATAGTGGGGTATCCCATAGGGGGTACAACACAATTAGGGTTTCCCATATGTACTCACTTCATTCATAGTTCATTCATTCTCGTTCTCATTTTCACATGGAATCAGAGCAGGTCCCCTCCTAGGGACTGTTCCTTGGGCCCACCGAAACGCGCCTCGAGTCGCGCCTGCCCCTTTTTTTAAGCGGCCCGTCGAGTCGCACCTAGCGGCCCGTAGTGCCGCCCTTACGGTCGCGTCGAGCCGCCATAGCGGCTGCGGCGCGCCGCCCCTTTTCCCGGCCCGTCGCCGCCCTTACCCGCGGCTTTACGCCGCCCTCACCGGCGGCTTCGCGCCGCCCCTTACCTGCGGCCCCGCCGCCTCTCTCTTCGCGGCCCCGCCGCCATCTCTCGCTGCGGCCCCGCCGCCACTCACTGCGGCCCCGCCGCCCGTCTTCGCGGCCCCGCCGCCTCTCTCGCTGCGGCCCCGCCGCCTCTCACTGCGGCCCCGCCGCCCTACTCAGCGGCCCCGCCGCCCGACTTCGCGGCCCCGCCGCTTCTCTCGCTGCGGCCCCGCCGCCTCTCTCGCTGCGGCCCCGCCGCCTCTCTCGTTGCGGCCCCGCCACCCTTCCCTGCGGCCCCGCCGCTTCTCTGCAGCGGCCCCGCCGCCCGTCTTCGCGGCCCCGCCGCCTCGCTACGTCAGCGGCCCAGCCGAGCCGCCCAACAGCCGCGCAGCCGAGCCGCCCAGCAGCAGAGCAGCCGAGCCGCCCCGCCGCCGAGCCGCGCTGCAGCCGAACCGCCCGGCCGCCGAGCTGCCCTGCCGCCGAGCCGCCCTGCTGCCGAGCCGCCCGTGAGCCGAGCAACCGAGCCGCCGTGCAGCCGAGCCGCCCTGCTGCCGAGCCGCCCTGCCGCCGAGCCGCCCGGGAGCCGAGCCGCCGAGCCGCCCTGCCGCCGAGCCGCCCTGCCGCCGAGCCGCCCGGGAGCCGAGCCGCCCAGCAGCCGAGTCGCCGGGCCGCCCTACTGCCGAGCCGCCCGACCTGCCCTGCCTGGTGAGCACAGCACCACTGTTACTGCGTGCCCTTCCCCTACTGCTTGCACTACTACACTGTCGTCGTCATGGCTACCCCTAGTGTCCTCGCTTTTGACGCTGAGGGTCGAGCCATTGACTTTGAGGTCTGGGTCGACGACCTGCAGCTGTTCTTACAGTGCGATAGGGCGGACGGTCTTTCCCTCTTTGACCTCACCTCTGGCGCCTCTCCTGCCCCTGCTGCTGATGCTGACCCCACTGTTCGCTCTCAGTGGGCCACCCGCGATGCTGCTGCACGTCTTGCTGTGCGTCGCCACCTGCCTACCACTGAGCGCGCGCACTTTAGTCAGTACAAGAGTGCTCAGACCTTGTACGACGCTGTAGTTGCGCGCTACTCTTCCCCTGCCACTGCTGCCCTTAGCCGCCTCATGCTACCGTACCTCTTTCCTGACCTTGCTGCCTTTCCCACTGTCGCTGACCTCATTACGCACCTCCGCACTAGTGACACTCGCTACCGTGCCGCCCTTCCTGCTGAGTTCTGCGCCAAGAACCCCCCCCCCATGTACATCACTCTCTATTACATAGTCACACGCCTCCCTGACTCCCTTCACGTAGTCAGGGACCACTTCCTCTCAGTCTGTCCCACCACTCTCACTGTCGACCTCCTCGAGAAGTCCCTCCTGGCGGCGGAGAAGAGCATCGTCGCTGTAGGAGCCTCTCGTGGTGACCCTCGCACCCCCATCTTTGAGGGGTGTTCTCCTTCCCCCCTGCTGCCCTCTGTTGCCTCTGCTGCTGCTGCCGACCTGCTTGGTCTTGAGTCGGTCTGCGCGGCGTCTGCCCCTAGCGGGAGACGCCGCCCTGGCAAGGGCAAGGGGGGCAAGGGCGCGGGTGGACCTGGCGGGGGCGGTGGAGGTGGCGGTGGAGGCGGCGGAGGGAGTGGGAGTGGCGGTGGGAGTGGTGGCGGGGGCGGTGGTGGCGGTGTCAGCAGCGGAGGAGGAGGCGGTGGCGGCGGCAGCGGTGGGAGCGGAGGCAGCGGTGGTGGTGGAGGTGGAGGCGGCGGTGGCGGAGGGGGTGGAGCTGGTCGGGGTGGTGCCCCGCAGCGTAGCGGCTCTGGTGGTGGCCAGCGTCAGCAGCAGCAGCAGCAGCAGCGTTCGCGGGACATCCCCCCGCCCCAGCAGCTCCGTGGGTGGTACACGCAGCGTCAGCGGGGTGGGGGTTTTGGTCCGTGCACCTACGTCCTTCGTTCCGGCGACCGCGCGGGTGAGCAGTGTGGAGGTGCCCACCCCACCCAGCGCTGCTTTGGCCGCCTGATGGACGCTTGGCGTCAGCAGTTCCCCGAGGCTAGTGAGATTCCCCGTTGGGGAGAGCTGTCTAGGGCTGGCGTAGCTATCTTTGATCTTGACTTTGATGCTATCCTTGCTGCCATGTATGCTGTGACTATTAGTGAGGAGGGTGAATGTTACCGGTGTTTCCCGCCCGACCCGGGCATTGGTACTGCTGCGCCAGGTACTTCTGCGGCTGCTGCTCTAGGTGCCAGTGCGTCTGCACTCTCAGGTACTGGTGAGGCTGCGCTCTCAGGTACTGCGTCGGCTTCGGCCTCCCTCACCTTCACGCTTGACTCAGGGGCTTCTCGCTCCTTCTTTCGAGACCGCACCACACTCACGCCGCTTGGCCGGCCGGTTGCAGTCTCCCTGGCTGACCCCTCTGGGGGTCCTGTCCTCTCTCACTTCTCCACTGTCCTCCCGTGTCCGGCTGCCCCCTCGGGCACCTTGTCTGGTCTGTACCTCCCCTCGTTCTCGATGAACTTGGTGAGTGGTGCTGACCTGCAGGATGCGGGGGTTCACCAGTTTACTCCTGCGAGTCAGCGGGTGACCCACTGCTCGGACGCCCGCACAGGCCGACACCTGGCCACGTTCTCGCGTCGGCCGGGGTCGAGTCTCTACACCCTGACCACTGAGTCTCCTCCTGTCCCTGCGTCAGGCCAGGTAGCTGCGTCGGGTCAGGTGTTTGCTGCTGCGTCCAGGTCTGGTCCTGAGTCTGCCCCCTGCTCGTGTCGCCGCCTGTCTCAGGAGACTCTCCTGTGGCACCACCGTCTTGGCCACCCCTCCTTGCCTCGTCTTAGGGGCATGGCTTCCCGTGTCCTTGTCTCTGGTCTTCCCCGGTCTCTCCCTCCCCTTCCTTCGGGACCCGGACCTTCCTGTGTCCCCTGTGTCGAGGGGCGGCTCCGGGCTGCCCCTCACTCCTCCCAGTTTCCCCCGACAGAGGCTCCTCTGCAGACGCTTCACATGGACGTGTGGGGCCCGGCCCGCGTCCGTGGGCAGGGTCACGAGCGCTACTTCCTGCTGGTGGTTGACGACTACTCGCGTTACACCACAGTCTTCCCCTTGCGCAGCAAGGGTGATGTCACTGAGGTGTTGATCGACTGGATCCGCGCAGCTCGTCTCCAGCTCAGGAGGAGCTTCGGCTCGGACTTTCCTGTTCTGCGTCTGCACTCTGACCGAGGTGGAGAGTTCTCCTCTGGCCTTCTGCGAGCCTACTGTCGTGCACGAGGCATCCGCCAGACCTTTACGCTTCCGGACTCTCCACAGCAAAATGGGATTGCTGAGCGCCGCATTGGCATGGTCATGGACGTCGCTCGTACGTCCATGATGCATGCGGCTGCCCCCCATTTTCTGTGGCCGTTTGCGGTTCGGTACGCGGCGCATCAGATCAACCTTCACCCCAGGGTCTCCCGGCCGGAGACCTCCCCAGCTCTGCTGTGGACGGGGAAGGTCGGCGATGCGTCTGCGTTCCGTGTCTGGGGATCTCGGGCGTTTGTCCGCGACTTGTCTGCGGACAAGCTGTCCCCTCGTGCTGCTCCCTGTGTCTTCCTCGGCTTCCCCCCTGACGCCCCAGGGTGGCAGTTCTACCACCCCTCCTCTCGTCGTGTTCTGTCCTCCCAGGACGTCACGTTCGACGAGTCAGTCCCCTTCTACCGCCTCTTCCCCTACCGCACTCCTTCCCTCCCCCCGCCACCGCACTTCCTTGTGCCAGGTCCCCCCCCGGTAGACCCCCTTCCCCCTCAGGGTCCTGCCCCTTCAGGTGTGTCCCAGGTAGACACAGTCGAGCCGGTCGAGGTTGCTGGTGACTCTGGTCCTGCTGCGGGTGCTGAGCCTGGGGGTGCTGACTCTGGGGGTGCTACGCGCGTGGGTGCTGAGCCTGGGGGTGCGGAGTCTGGGGGTGCTGAGCCTGGGGGTGCTGCGACTGGGGGTGCTGAGCCTGGGGGTGCGGAGTCTGGGGGTGCTGAGCCTGGGGGTGCTGCGACTGGGGGTGCTGAGCCAGGGGGTGCTGCGTCTGGAGCTGCTGAGCCTGGAGCTGCGGAGCCTGCGGCCACTGGACCTCCCCTTGTGGCGTCTGGCGGTGCGGGACCTGGCGGTTCTCCGGGTGCTTCGCCTCGGCGGGAGCCCCTCTCTCCACAGGAGCTGCGCGAGTGG